AAGTGAGATTTATTGCTTTGGCAAAAAGTCTATCCTCATTAAAATAAAAGTGTCCTTAATAAGGAATGTGGAGTACAAGTGATCACATACCAGCTTTATTAGTCCTGGAAGGAATCACTCCATCAGAAACCCTTCCTGAAGTCAGTTACACAATGCATGGAATTTAAAGGAGCCAGGGCTGGGTGTCTGGAGAACAGAATCAGGTGTGCATAAGTACCTTCATTATATGATTCATGATTTCTTAAAATGCTCAGAAAGGTCTTTAGCGCCTCTAACCTCTCACCATAGCTAACATTTTCTCCCTTAGAGCCAGCGCTTTGGGTTAAGGAAGGGCTGCTGAAGCACATGATAAAAATGCATTGCCTTTGAGGGATGTTTCACTGGGCTGTTTACCCAAGCGCACATTAGAATAGCTGACATTGCTGAGCGTAACTCTGGCCGTGGTACAAATATTACCTTCAGAGTGAAGCCTATTCTCACCACTCTACTTAAAATTATAGCCCATACTTTTTTTCTACCATCTTTCCTTAAAAGTTGAGAAAAACATCTTTTATATTTACCCACACATTTTACTATTTTAGGTGCTCCCATGTAAGTTTACACTTACATGGTATCTTTAAGGTTACTTTTTACAATTTTAGGGGCTCCTTAATTTTCCATCTGGTATCTTTTTTCCTTCTGCCTGGAGAGCTTCCCTTAACATTTCCTGTAGTACAGTCATCTGGCAGCAGATTTTCCAAGCTTTTGTTTGTATGTAGAAGCCTTTATTTCATCTTCAATTTTGAAAGATATTTCCATTGAAGACAGAATTCTAGACTGACAATATTTTTCTTCCCTTAACAGATGCTGTTCCATTATCTTTTGCTTGCATCATTTCTGATGAGAAGTCTATAGTCATTCTTATTTTGCTCCTCTCTATGTAATGTGCTTTTCCCCCTTTGGTTGTTTTTAAAACGTTCTCTTTATGACTGGTATTCAGCAATTTAATTATGATATAGCTTTGTGCAGCACACTTTAAAGGAATACAATAAAATCCAGCATTCAACAACATTTTTAAAAATTTTAAAATAATGTCCACATCCAATCAAAAATTACTAGGTGTGGAAGAAGCAAAAAATGTAGCTTGTAACCAGCAGGAATATAAGTCAACAGAAATGTCCTGGAAATGACAGCGATGGTGGAATTGGCAGGGAAGAGCTTTACAATTAGCTATTATAAATACACTCAATATGCTCAATAATTTAAAGAAAAAATAAACATGCCAAAAGAAATAGAAGATATTGTTTAAATGGCACATCTAGATACTTAAAATATACATAATATCAGAAGAGGAAAAAAATCACTTTATTGTCGTACTAGGTACCATTTGTTTCTTT